CCAACGCGACTGGGCAGCGAAACTGTCGATGGCGGAATTCGCGATCAATGCGAGCTCGAACACATCGACAGGATTTGCCCCGTTCGAATTAATCTACGGCCATATGCCAAAGATGTGCCTAACAGCACCACTCTCAGACTACCCGGGAGTAAATGACTTCGCTCAAAAAGCGAAGGAAAACCTCATGGCAGCACACAATGCGATAATACATAATCGCGCTGCTCAAACAATCCAGGCGAATAAGACAAGACGCCCGGACCCGCCTTTGAGAAAAGGAAAAGGCGAGCTCACATACTTATCCACGGATAAGCTGAACCTACCCAAAGGCAGGGCAGGAAAACTAAAGCCCTTATACATAGGACCTTACGAAATTCTGGAAACATTTCCAGAAACGTCAAACTACATCCTCAAGTTGCCACCACAACTTGAACAACGCGGAATCCACCCAAGATTCCATGTATCCCAGCTCGTACCTCACGAGCCGAATGACCAGGAAATCTTCCCAAATAGGGAAGTAAACATATTCTACGATTTTGGGGAAGACCCCGATTGCGAAGCAGTAGTTCGCGAAATCCTAAACCACGCGTGGGTTCACAACGAACTCTGGTTTAAGGTTAAATGGGAACTAGGGGACACCACATGGGAACCCCTAGGAAATTGCAACGACCTCGTCCACCTGGACGAGTACCTCACCTTACAAAATGTAAGGGAACCAGAAAAACTCCCTATCAAAGAAGACAGGGAACTCTCGGCATCACTACGCCCCCAAAAACGGAGGTGGAGGAAGTAAAGCCGAGGGACGATGGCCCACAGCCAAGAGCGTGGGAAAGTTCTGGGCGAGTAACTCGCCCGGACAGCCACACCATGTACTAGAAATCACATGGGCTAGGCGAGTAACCTGCCTAGACCACGTGAACCACAGGCTCACGTGCAAAAGAACACACATCTGTGGCGAATCCCATGCACGCAAGAACGAAAACCCCTCCCACCACCATGAGTAACATAACGACGAAATGTCGTTCTCTGGGGGAGGCAACCCTCGGTTCGATCCAAACAAACCACCGGATATCGAAATACGACAACCCGGGGAGCAAGGCTCCCCGGAACAACAACAACACCAGGTGCAGATAAGCACCATGGATTACATGATGCACGCAGCACAAATGAGTGCTGCAAACCAACAACCATCCGCATTGCTAACAGGCACCGCATACCCCCAGCCTCCCCAAAGAGGCTTCCAACCATACGCGGTGCAAACTGCACTGATGGCACAACAAGCGCCATTCCAGGGGCAGCATTTGCTGCTGCAGCCCCAGGCATACTCCCCAGGGAACTTCCCTGGCCAGATCAACCCCTGGATTAGCCAATTCAGCCCAGGTCCAACAACACCCCAGCCAAATGCAGGCTGGGAATCAGCTATCGCGTCAGCGGTAGCTGCTCAGACAGGTCAGCTCCGTGAGGAGCTGAAAGAGATGAAGTCCCTCGTAGGAGGGAGACGAGGGAGTGACAGCGGCTCCTCGTCCAGACCGTCCAAACGGGCACGGTCTGATAACTCGAGGGCGTCAGAAGACGCCTGCGACCATTGCGCCCACTGGAGGCACGAATACAACAGAGCACGAAGAGATGCTGAGGGCATCTTTGACTCTCTGAAAGACACAGAGAGAGAAGTCGATCTCCAAAAAAGGGAGATCGAATTACTGAAACACGAGCTCAGAGAGGCATGCGCACTGGCAGACCTCGCTGCCAAACCCATCATGACGGGGGCCTCCCAGGTCAGGGGGAGGGGATACGGTTCCGGGCCTCATGAGACGCGACCCCACATGGGGACTAGCGCATCAAGGGGTGGGGCACCGACTATCCCGCCACCCCGTGGGCAGGCGACCCTGTCCGGGTTGCATAAGGGCCTGCCCTCAGAGGGGCAAACCCATGTTGAGGGGAAGAGGGAGAGCGGTAGGCAACCGACAGCAGACCCTAAAACGGGGACCACTGCCAGAGGCGGCGGGCCGCTGAGTACCTCAGCACCCTATGGGCAAGCTACCCTGCAGGGAAGTGTCCACATGCTATACGAGACCGCCGAACTCAATGAGTTCGGCAAAGTCGAAGCTCCAGTCGACATAACAATCGACCCCAACTTCCCCATGAGGAGAATAGCGGGGTCAGAAGCGGCGCATGACGCCGCATACGCTTGGTGGACAAGCGTGAGTGGGAAAGAATTTGTACACTGGTACGAACAGGCCGAAGCCGCCTTCAAAAGCAGCAAGGTACACAGAACCCTTTGCGAAAAAAGCGAAGGAAACCGAGAAATACTTCTTGGGACTCCCGAGTATCGCAAGACTCGCGGAGGAATATAATTCCCCAGAGAATAAGGGAAAAATCTCCTGGGAAAGTCTAGGCAAAGCTGCCTACTTAAAGTCCCAGTTCAAACCACTCAGGACTCCTGAGGAACGTGCCGCAAGAACTGCAGAGCGGGAAGCGAAAGCTTCCAAATACCGGGAAAGAGATGCAAGTCTCCGTGCTGGACAACCAGCCCAACGACCATCCTTCCCCACAGGAAGAACAGTAGACCTACCGTACTCTACACCTGAGCCAAGCAGCTCAGGAACACAACAACCCGCTCCCACCCAGGGAGCACCCACTTCGTCGAGCCCACAGCCCGACAATGTAGCCCAGGCTACGTCATCACATCCGACGCAGCAATCGGATGTCCAGATGAACAACCCGGAGGAAAACCCTCCTCCGGGGCAATGAATCCACCCTTGAGAGAAGGGAAAGTGACACGGTAATACGCCATCGAGGCGCCCGTGAAAACACCTTCCCCCAACTCGAGGCCCCGCACACAATACTGTATGCGAGGAACCGCAAGTAACAATTGCGGAAATCTCCACTCCGTCAAAAGACCCACATCCACCACCGCTTGTGTGTAAACACCACTTACACATGAACCCTCACAGAACAAGTGAGGAACACCAAAAACATACAACCTTTGGGTCGAAATTCATTTTCGACAAACTCCACCATTTTTTCTCTTCTCTCCCTGCGATACCAATGTATCGCCGTTCACTTCAAAGTAACGGCCCACACTCATTCATTCCTTAAACCCCCTCTCTTTTCTTCACTACAAAATTGCCCACTTTAAAGTGGCGACAACAAAACACTCATTGATAATTCCAAACTCAATGTAAATCAACTATTAAAACTCTGTTTTATTCACTATCAACCTTGTATGCGTCGCAAATGCAACGCAAGGGGGAGAATGTCAGGGCAATAGCCCCGAACCCCGAGTCACATGTAAATTAGATACATATAGTCACGTGGGCAAGCGGGAACCTCCGGGTAACTGCTTACACACCACCGTAAAATACACTATCTTGTATCACTTACGGCCTTGTGTGCTGAGCCACCCTAAGACCTCACAGCCTTCGTCTCCCGCTTCTCGAAGGAGCTCGCGGACCTCCTAGGCATCACACTGACCCCCTCAATGCCCTACCACCCCCAGACGGATGGACAGACTGAGCAGGTCAACCAAGAGATTGAAGCCTACCTCCGGGTGTTTGTCAACCATTGACAGGACGACTGGGCAGATTGGCTCCCACTAGCGGAATTCTCCTACAACAACTGCATCCACTCATCCACCCACCAAACCCCTTTCAAACTCGACACCAGCCAACACCCCAGAATGGGGCCGGAACCCACCTGTATGTCCAAAGTGGAAGCTGCCAATGCGTTTTCGTCAAGGATGATGAAAATGCAGGAGGAGGCGAAGGCTGCACTGGAACACGCAGTGGACGAGATGGCCCATTACTACGACCGAGACTGTGAAATGCCCCCAAAATATCGAGAAGGTGACCAAGTCTGGCTCAGTGCCCAGAATTACATGACCAACTGTCCAACCAAAAAGCTGGACCACAAATGGCTTGGCCCCTTCAAGATCGTCAAAGTCGTTTCCCCAGCCACTGTCAAACTCCAACTCACCGCACGACAGAAGGGAGTTCACCCAGTCATGTCCATAATGAACATCAGGCCACACTGCCTGGATGATATCGCAGAACAACCCACTGACCCCCACCCAGGCCTGGAACTCATAGATGGAGAAGAGGAGTACAAGGTCGAGAAGGTATTGGACTCTAAGTGGCTATGCCAGAAACTCTGGTATCTGGTAAAGTTCGTTGGTTGGCCAAGCTCAGAGAACTAATGGCTCCAGCAGGACCACTTAGCCCATGCCCCCGACCGGATTGAGGAATTTTACAGGACACATCCCCTAGCCCCAGGGAGAGAGAGGGAGAACCACCTGGCCGCTTCGAGGCAAAGCGGCTTAAGGAGGGGGTGATGTCAGGGCACACCCACCTGACCTAGGTCCACCTGGACCCACCTGGCCACACCTCACCCACTGCCCCACTGCCCATCCCTCTCCTTCCTCCTTCCTCCCTCTTTCTTTCTTTCTTTTCTCTCTTTCTTCTCTTTTCTTTATTTCATTCTTCCCATCATTCTCTTCCTGTTTATTCCTTCTATCTACATGGACCACTTTCCTTTGTATCAATGTACTATTGACCTGTCCAGCCCAGACACCCCAGACGGCTTCCTGCTGTGCCCAGCACGCACGCCTGCAGTGGATGCTCTCAGGATCCCCTGTGGGGACACCCAGATGGCTGTGGCTGTCTCCGAGGATGACATGGCACCCATCATGTGACTCAAGCCACATGTACATAAATGTACCTGAAGTGGGAACCGAAGAAGTAACCTTCTTCTCACCTTTTCCACTTCAGTCTGAGTGGCCCAGGGACTGCTGTCCCATCCTGGGCCTGCCAGTATGCATGCCCAATTTACACCCTGCGAGGGCCCCTCTGCCAGGTGCTACATCCGGACCCCCTCTACCCTGGATGCGTCCCTGACATATGGCAGGTTATGGGTTATCTCAGGTATGGCCTATCACGGTTTCAACTGTACAATGGCCCACAGAGCCAACTTTCAGCCGCTTCCCTCCCTGGAAAACATAGTTCAGGATGTTGCACAGCACGGGTGGGGACATACACTCCCCCAAACTATTGGAACAATTGGGGACATATTTGATGCTGTCTCACTGACAAATGACTTAATTTCGAAGGTGAATCATTATCTAAACAGCTCCAAGCCACTCAGTTATCCTCAACATTCCGGACAGTTTTCCTAGAGACATGCATTGCCGCATATGCAAAGAAACATGGCAAGTCGCCTCAGGAGGCCATGGAACATTTTCATCCACATGTTCCGAGTGAGGTAGGACAAACAGCTTGGCAGGCGTGGTTGAAATTGCACCATAAGTTTGCAACACGGTCACACTCTCACACACTCAATATTTCCCCTTTCAGCTGGGAAAGATAGCTCAGAGGCAGGAAACCTTTGTAAGGCAGAGCAATTGAAGATTGAAGAGAAATACCCTGAGAGGGCCAATGAAGTAAAGGCTTTTTATGACAAGTTGCTCATGCATTATGGGGATGCAATCCTACCAAAAGACGAGAGGGAAACACGACCTGAAAAGGGCTTTTACTTGCTACAAAAGCTGACTGGCAGATATGCTGCTCAGGTGAAGTTGGGGATCAATATTATTGCAGATCTATTTTGACAAAATAGTGACATGATAGGCTTCTATGCTCAGCTTGATTTACCCTGTTGGCATTGCCCTTGTGGGCTTCACTTCCGATGAAGCAGTGCCACCACAAGAGTCAACCATTGCATTCACCAGTTCACCATTCATCGCTGAACTAGTGAAAGCATTTGGATTACCCTTCACTCAACAGGCCCCACAAAGTATGAGGTCCCTCTATGATGGAGTATCAGCATTCAGGTGAGCAGGATAGATATGGCAATGCACAAGGAGCCTACTTATAATGTTTCCTCAGCCCTTATCAGCCCAATGCTGCCAAACAAAAGTCTCTTTCCTGCTGCTTATGCTAACTTGCTGTAGAGCTTTCCTCCATCACCTTGGTGATTTCAAGGCCCCTGTGAAGTCTGAGAATGAGGAACATAGCATATCAGGCCTTATGAAGGCTATCATGCAACATGCCAAAAAAACTGTCCATTTTAATGATGACTTAGAGAGGTATCCAGGTGGCAGCAATGTATGCGTGAAGTCAAGGGCTATAGATGAGGATAATGTGGACTTCTATACACCAGTGATGAAAAACGAGGATGGCTTCGCTATTGAAATCAACAAGGAGTTTGGTAAGCCCACGGAGCGCTGCAAGTCGTGTGCTAAACAACTTTGGATGTTAATCAGTATGTCTTCAGGTTGAGCCTGGGTGATCACCAACTGATATACACACTAGGTGATAAAGTGGGCTCAGCTGACAAGGTGCAGGACAACTGGAAGGGTGCCAACATTCTCCCCCTCTTACTTGAGCATCACCTCTGATTTGCCAGGTGGCATTGTGGAGTACCATGCTTGGATAAGTCACTGCCATCCAATTGGACACCACATGAAACTGCCCATTGCTTGTTGCAACTCTCTCACACCATTCCAGCCCAGAGGTTGAGAGTTGAGACAATGACCGAAGGTAAGGGTATATCAGTAAATGTTTGAAGGCTAGAGCTGAGGTACCATTGTCCAGAGGAATATGTGGAACACGAGGTAGTACACTGGGCTCCAGACCCAAAGGGTGAGGTTTGATCTTATGTATTGCCTGAAGATCAGGTATGCAGGGCAGTTGCCAAGATAGTGGCCCCCAGCATTCAAGCAGGACATCCAGAAAAACACAAGGCAGACTCACCAGAAGCGACTAGTGTCAATGACCAGGGGACATCAAGTTATCCAAGTCCCAAACAGACAAGGACTAGGTCGAAGAGGATATCGAGTAAGCCTAAACAGGTGAGAGCTAAGCCTGGACAGAAGGTCCCAGTCATGAGCAAACATGAAGTGAAAACAATGCCAGAAACGACAGCTGGGACCAGCCAGGCAAACGAAATGACCATTCCTGTCGTATCCATACATACCCAATCCCAATCCGACTCCCAGAACCTCCGCTTCACCACCTCTGGAGTCCCACCCTACCCCCGTCCACTCCGATATCCACCTTCGGACCGAACACCATTCCTCCTCCCACTCCTCTCCCCACTCCTCTCATCACTCTCCTCCTTCAGACCCTCTTCCGCCAAACCTCTGCCAAGTTACGACCTCCCACTGCCGTCCCATACCTTGTACTCAGACACTGCCCATACCTTCACTCCGAGACTCTGTCATGGTCCCAACCTCAGACTTTGACCCGACCTCAGCTTAAGTCCATTGCATTGGTGACCTCATTCTACGTAAACACCATTGCCAATATTCCTTGGACTTTCAACCCTGCCTCTGCAACCTCCGTAAGCTCTGCAACCTCTGAGCTTCATGGACCATACTTGGCACTTTTGCCGCTTGTAATGTATCTTTCGCGATTTCCCCTCATCCTTATTTGGACTACTGCTTCCTTCCATTTTAGCCAGTTAGTCACCATCCCCACTTCACCTCATCCTCCTGCCCCTCTGGGCTTCACCCTCCCTATCTCCTTTCAGATTTACCACAGAGTCTAACCCATGACCTTCGGTACCACTCTGTTTCCATCACCCCTTTGTCTCCGTTTGGATGCCTTTGTTCCAATTCGGACCCCCTTTGACTTCCTTGTGCTTTCATCCCTCCATTATATACAGGCACTTGTACATACTTGTTTTAGGCCCTCAGTCTAAAATCGACCAGAAATGCCCCCTAGAGACTTCCTGCTCACTGCTTCTGAAATTAAGGACCAAATGGACAAACAGCAATGGCACAGCACTCCGCATGAGTTGCTGAGGCCAAGGTCCCTCCTTGCTAAGTCTCCGGTTCCCCTCCAGAATTGTCCACCCTCGCCCAGTTCTAACAATTCCAGAGACCCCTAGTGAGTTGCTGCATGAATCAGACAGATCAGTTTTGCTGGTAACTGTCACGACCATGCATTCTGACCCAGATGCCAGCCCTTGTTTCTGTTTCTGTTTGTTAATTCATCACCTGACCCATTTGGTTTTCTGACTATATATACATGTATAATACATTAGTATAACTTTAGTCTGAATATCGACATGGTTTAGTCCCCCTAACAAGGCAGCCCCAAGCCACTTCGAAATGTGGGCACTGAGATAGTAGGTGGGCACAGCGCTCTCTTGGAGTCGCTGAGGCCAAAGCCCAACCCCGGAGCCTTGTCCTTGCCAGTCGTCCCCGTTTGCTGACCTGTACCTAACAGTAACAGCTGGCAAGTCCCACACATCCATTGTCCTACACTTTCATCCAATGCAGCAAGGTGGGAACGAGGTGCCAGAAATTGAGAGATTTCACACAACAACAACCACCCCTCACTTTGATCTTATGCCACACAATGACCACCATCCCTCGCTTTGATTTTTTGCCTCAAAGTGAGAATGAGGTCTTGATGATTGGAGGATCTTAGGCAGGACTCCAGCCTCTCTGACTTCGTAACAATAAAGAGAGGCTGGAACCAAACCCCAGTTGATGAATGCGGATTTTTACTGAATGGTTGTCACAGTCGAGAAAGGGTCCTCACAGTTGCCATGGGTTACTTAAGCAATACAGTTTAAGTGAATGGAAGGAGAACTTCGGGATGAAAGATATTTGTTTATATTTACAGTACAAACAAGTGCAAATTCTTTTCTCGATCCCACAATGGATGCATTCCAAGTCAAGATCCCTTCTCTACCGATATTCTACACGCCTGGTCAGACTGGGAATCTTGCAGGCTATAGACAACAAAAAATATTTTCTAGACCTCACCCCAATGAAACTTACAGCCCTGCTACCTCAATTCCATCACGGGGCCGTCCCAAGCGCAAAGCTGCAGAGGACCAGGATTCTCCAGTGAAAAAAATCTGCGAGAATTCAGGAAGAACTGCTGTTATCGCCAACCAACGGGCAGAGTTCATTGGAAGCCCACCAGAACCACTCTCACCATCAAAGCGGCTTAACAGAGAAGACCAAGCCAGGAGCTGCAACGCATTCAATACCATCGAGTCGGAATGGATGGCATCCAGTTCTTCCCAGACACCGACGGAGTGTGATGAATGGCAAAGTACCTCGAGGTGCCCTTCATGTTATAGCTCTGCCCCCGAGCAATTATACCTGCTGGGCAGCCAGCCCAGGCCCAAGCCTCTGGCAACAGTAGAACTGATACTGTCGATACTGAGATCGCGGGATATCACACTCGGCGAGTTTCTCATTACGCTTTTTGGGGATACCACGCACTTAAGTACATCAGCAAAGGAGATGCTCAAGTGGTTCATAGGGGGACGTACCGTGAAGAACCACCCTGTTGACATCGTCCATGCATTATACAGTCATCCATGGGCCCGGCCCCAGCAATCGTATGAACCCACCTATGACACACTGCCAGAATACGCTATTCCAATGATGAGTTCTCAGCCAGGAACTCATTCAGACATCAAGAACACGTACAGCAAGCTACAGGAGTACTTTATTGCACGCGTTGTTGACCGGCTGGAGACAGAAGTCAGGGCTCTTCTCAAAAGCCCTTACTTGCGTGCAAGAGACACCGCGACAAGCCGATTTAGCTGGGATACGGTCCTAGACTTCTCTGTTAACACAGTCCAGAAGATGGCCCTCAGCGTCGCACCTGTGACCTGGATGTTGTTAACATGGATTGCAGTTGGTGGGGAGAGGGCGGAGCAGCTGAAAGAAGCGAAATTAAGGGACTCTGGGAAGGGACGTGGGTCGAATCACGTACGAGATCCCTATTTAGTGAGTGAACGATTCAGTACTTGCTAGCGAATTAACTGATGATCGTGTGAGGGATGCACCATTGTGCTGATGGTGCTGTTGTACTTTCGTAATAAAGGGTTAAACAAATTCCAGAGCATCATGGGATTACTCATGTTCTCTGAGAATTCTTCAAAGTCATTACAATCCATCACTGGCCGCATCGGACTTGCAGTCGCGAATAGCTCAACTCTTCAGCGCTTATACTCAATGAGCGCGGTTGCATCCGAGAAAATTCGCAACATAGGGGCTAACTGGGTCAACAAGCTGGCTTCATTCCATGTCGTTTATGATAACATCAATCAGTACCATAAAGACTGGCGGCCATCCCTCTCTTCACAAACATGTATGGAAAGTGGGACTGCTGCCACCTTGATCATGCAGCCTGGCGTGGCTGCAGATGCTTTCGATGGTTTTGAATATGAGGAACGCCGGCGGCACGTCAAACGTGATGACATCACGTTAACGAGGATTTGGGATGACGTTGACCGCAAGCACCTGGAAAACGTCTGTGTCATCAACATATTGCGTCTGTTACTCGATCACATACCTGGCCTGAAGCGACACAAGAACGACTTCGACAATTTCAGGCAAACTGCTGCGATTCACCCAACACCACTCCAAATCACCGAAGTTATCCCCCTTGAGACGTCGGGCTTTGATGAGGCAACTACTATGGGAAACCGTCAGACAATCCGCGACATCATCGAATGCCAACTTGGGATCCCTCCACATGCTGTCGAAGGACGACTCATACCATTCTCCGGTGATCAGGCCACAATATCACGCATCCGAACCCTGAAGCGCCACACAGCTTCAGGGTCTTCTTGGTTCTCTTCAAACCGTTATGTCCTACCGCTTATCGAGCTTTGGCACATGAAGTTCGCAATGCTCAAAGGGATAATTAAAGCTCACTGGCCAGAGCAGACCGAAAAGGGCGACGTTGGTCTTCGCTTCGCTGCCGATAAACTTCGTCGGAATTTAAACCCCAACAAAGTGGATTTCTATCCTGCTGAGAGACTCATTGAAGTTGTACTCACAGCGATGATGCTAAATTACATCAGGTATTTTTTACTTCCCACTTCCTCCTTCACAGCTCACTCGTAAGTTTTCTTAGACATATACTTCGCCAGAAATCTTTGAAATGCCCTGTCCGGGAGGACAGGAAGCCGATGCACCTTACCGAAGAACTCGAGGCATACACAAAGGAAGGAAACTTTCTCCATTCATGTAGTTTCAACGATCTCTACCGCCTTGCTTGCGATGCATACCATGCATTTGGCTCGACACGTTCCGGTTACATGGCCTTGTCACCCGATGTAAGCGATGGCCAGTCATACTTCGCCCGCTTCATCGATCCTCAACTGGACTCTCTCTTCCCAATGCCAGAAGAGCCCTCGATTGTATCCAATATGGCCCGACGAAGCTGTGAGCAGGGTGAAAGCGATGAAGACGATGTGGACGAAAGTGATGACGAGGCTGGTAATGCCAATGACTGCATCGGAGCATCAATGAATATTGATTTGACTTTCGATAATGAATCTCTCACCTTCGAGATGCCAAACAACACTCGTGGCGACATCTTAATGCACAACAATGCATTTCTTTGGCGAGATTTGCTTCATTACTGGGAGCTCAAGAGTAGCGTGAAGGAAGGAGATGTAGGACGGACGTTTGAAGTGATTAAGGTGAGAATAGTTGGAATTTGGGATTAAACAGTGCCAACTAACCAAGCAACAGTGGCTACGCATGTAGTTCTTCAGCGTTGGGGCGAGCAATTATGGCCACGAACTTTTACATCAAGCGATTGATTTATGGTTCAATTTCACGGCGGCGACGAAGAAGGCAGTCTTTGACTGGTACATTTTGAATGTATCAGGGTTAGTTGGGGGGCGAAAGGAGAGAGATCTCCTTCAGGAGCACCACAACCTTGCAATCAAGCGGGTGCATAATGGACGCTTGGCAAGGTTTGATTCGAGGTTCATTCGGGAGGCCGTCTCCTTGAATGTCGTGCCACTGGGTCAACTTGCAAACACGATCAAGGATCGGCTTGGTCTTCACAAAACCGTATCGAACCGAACCGATGCCGAATTGACAGCGGACATCAACTTACTGGGTCACTCGTACTTAGTTCAGCGACATCATCTCTATCATCCAAACCGATCACAATCCTACTTGGCAATTGATGCACTCTCGCATGGTTATGCAAAACTTCGCAATGGGGCATTGAGCAACTTCTTGGACAAGTACATGACTTGATAGGTGAGTATTCTATTTATGAATCAGCGCCCAGCTGTCTATGCCTGCTTTTCTAATTGCAGGGTTTCGTCCATTAACAGGCCACGTGCCGATCGCACTCTCTTTCGCTTTGACTTCCCCCCATCTTCCATCTCACCATTATCCCCTGTTGGCTCCTTGGACCCTGTGGCATGCCCTGCCCCTCCGTCACCATCTATCGCTTCGGCACCATCACTTGCATGCGATGTTGAGGGCTTCTCGCGTGTAGCCTTCTTTCTTGTCAACCTCTTTTTCTGTGCCTCCGTTGCCTTGACACGTTTAATGATAATCTCTTGCAATTCCGCGTTAAGTGCTTGAACTTTCTCCCACAGTCCATCTATCTCGGCTTCCGACAGAGGCCTGACTGATAACCAGGTTCTGACCACAAAGTCTAAACGCTCGCGCGTGGAGATCGTGTATAGCCGCTCTGCAAGGCCACGAATATCACCATCACCGACGATAACTTCAGGTGAGATATCATCAGGAGAATCAAAGCTGAATGGTCGCTTTCTCCAGACGCTGTGCCTCCAACTCAGCAGATCATTTATTGCATGCTCGCGAAGGTCTTTTGATGGCTTACGAAAGTTCTCCCCAGGCAAGCGGCTAACCTGCTTGCTCTTTTTCGGCTTTTTCCCAGAAAGAACGGCCATGTAGTCTTTTACCATGGCGAGGTGGGATTCCATTGGTCCGGGTTCACACCGTTCACAGCAGTTTGCCACTTCCTTGAACTCGTCACCAAAGTATCGGCATAGTACCATGCGGGGGCAGTCACTGGGGTGAGGATTGAAGAACTCGACCAGCGCAGGCTGTACCATCGCTTGTACTTTATCACGACGCTCGATCTTCGCCGCTGTGAGGCCCTTAGCATTCGATGGCACATATGTCTTCAAATCTCGATGCTCAGCAGGTACGACCTGGAGATCTTCGTTTGCGTACACAACTAACATCCCACCACTGCCATCCCGACTTGCTCGTCCTGCCCACTGTGTCAACTCTTCGACCGAGTTGGGAAGATCGATACAGATGACATTGGTAACACTCATGTCAATTCCGACATTAGCACTAACGGTAGCGACAATGTACCGGATGGAACCTGCGCAAAGGCCGGCAAGCACTTCTCGACGGTTGCTGTCATCCATTTCCGCGTGAAAGGGCGATACCATCTTTGATGCCACTCCACGGCACTTGATCACATCCGTCCAAGGCAACCCTTCTGCTAGTTCCATCACAAGCCACTGACAAAGCACCATTACTTTGTTAATAGTACGGCATGCAAAGAGGGTCGGGGTAAGATCAAGCGATGAATTGATGATTGGGGGAATGACCCAGGCGAGGTCGGGGAATGTCGTCCCTTCGGTGGAATTGAGAAGGAAGCGTGGACAATATTTCAGGTCAGGGCAGTCAATGGGTAGTTTGATATCATGGAACTGATTCTTCTTGAATCCCAGGATTCCCTGGACTTTGGTACGGGCATCATCATGAAGGGAGGCGGACATTGCAAGGAAGGTGATCCGTGTTGGTAAACGCGCGCGCAGTTCACATAATTTCAGGTAATCTTTCCGGAATGTTAATCCCCATTGAAGTACTAGGTGGACTTCATCTATGAAGATGAACCCAAGCTTCCGCATAAAATTCTCATTCCGGAATAGCCGAGCCACTGGTGGGCTTTGCAGCATCTCCGGGCCCATTCCAATCACATCCCATATACCGTCACTAATTTCTTTCCACAGATCGCGACCTTCCTTGGCTGCCATGGAGGCAAGGATGTTGGCGCTCACTCCGATAAACCGGACGCCTTTCTGACGTGCCTTGGCTTCCTGGATGCCAATTTGGTTTGTAAGTGTATAGCATTGTTGAAAGCAGGTACTGACTTGGTCAATTATTAGTGATTCTGTTGGGTAGATAACCACCGCAATGTAATCTTTTTGAGCAATCTTTCGAGCAATCACCGGCGCTAAGGTGAGGACGGACTTCCCGCTTCCCGTCTTGGCTGTTAGAAATACTTCCTGTCCTTTGAACAGGTCGAGTGAGTGTGAAATCTGCCATGGTCGGGGTGCTGCAATTGTCAGCCATTCCTTAAATATTGTACACATCCATTCTTCGGATCGAGTCTCGAAATGTGCCAAACTCCTACGAAATTGATCGAGCTTGTTGTCGTATTCATTCTGCTTGAGGGATGATGCGCCCTCGATAAGTGCACTCATATGGCAAGTTTTTTAGGATAGATACAATATATTCGGCCACCCCCGCCATCACGCTGCTAAGGCATGACTAGATGAGAACCCGAGATTTCCCGGCACGTGATTCATTGTATTGATTAACAAATTGGGACATAGATACAAGGACCCTTTATGAGACCTTAGCAACAATTTAAAAAAAATCCGCATTCAGAACCGCACTGATGAGTCCCAGACTAGGAGGATCTTACACAGCACCCACCATCCCTCACTTCGATCTGATAACACAAAGTGAGAATGAGGTCCTGACAATTGAAGAATCTTACACAACACCCACCACCCCTTGCTTCGATCTGATGCCACAAAGCGAGGACGAGGCTCTGAAGGTTGGGGCGTTACACACTATGCCTCACTTCAATCTGAAGCCGCAAAGAAGCATCGCCAGAGAGGGAGGATGCAGTGCATCTCCCATAATGGCCATCACTCAATTCAATCCAATGCCCCAAAGCGGGAATAGCATGAGTACCGCCATTCTTCCCATTGATCCTTTGCTGCAAAGTGGGGACAATATTCTGGCGAAGCCAAGGGGTGGAACAATGGACCGATCCCCAAGAATGGCGTCAATTCCACCAATAAAGGTGATTACAGCGAAGTGCAAAAAAATCTGCCAGTTTCGATTCGAACGGGTAAGTGGGGCAGGTGAATCCTCTACCTAAAAAGTTGGCAAGATTGTGGCTCACGACAGGGATTTCCTTATTTGGATCAACAGCTCAAGTGCTGGGGTCTTCACCCTCGGCAATCACAGCAAGGGCAGCAACCCTCAGATCAGTTTATGACAATGACGTTGGGTGTTGTGGGGTTCAATGGTGCCCATCGTGGTATATAGGATGTGCGGAATGACTGTAGGGCTAGAGGTTACCTCTTGCTGCCACCCTCAGCCACGATGTCCGACAGCAAACAACTTGATAGAGAATATTTCATAAAGAACAAAGACCAGCGATGCACTTGGAACATGGCCTATCTCTAGGTCTGGCTGAGGAAAAGCCATTGCCAAAGAGCCGTCGTGAAGCGGTCTATCATTTTATCGAAAATGGACATCTCAACTACCTTCCAGATGATTCAGACACAGTTTCAAATGTTCTCACAGATGGTGGCAACAATGCCAGCAAGATGTCAGTGAAGATCCCCGAGAATTGTAAGTCTGATTTCCTGATCTGGTCTTTACCAATGACACTGGTATTTGTCACAAGGGGAAGAGAAACCACTTGACGATCCTGTTCACACCTGTGTTCAGACATATCTTACTGCAAAGCGCAATGGCCACTTCCCATATTCCTTGGAACCTCACCTGCCCACTACCAATCCACCTCCTGTGTCTGCACCCACTCTGTCCATGTCAGAGACCAGATCGAGACAAAGGAAGGTCTCCATGGCAGAGGGCTTCGGCCTCAGCGACTTATGCCAGGAGCACTGTGCCAAGTAACACGTCTGTGCCCTAACTTACTAACTGGCAACCAGAACTAAAAGGGGGTCAACTCTAGTCGATTTTATTACTGAGGTGTAACCTATGTACAAGTTGAGTATATATATAGTTACAACGAGGGCTGGCCCGTAAATGGCGGGGCCGAGCGGAGCGGAGCTAATGGAGTTAAACATTAGCTGATTGAATATTACCGACAAGTTGGGTTACGGGGTTAGCAGAATGGTAGGCAATAACCCAGAAACAGAAAGGAGGGATAGGCCCAAAGGTGGGTTTGCAGGGCAAGCGAGTGAATTGCCCAGTGGAGGCGGGAGTGCGCTAGCGGACGTTGGAGCTGTCCAGAAACCTTCAGGGCTCCATACTTAGGGAGGCATAGGTAATATATTGAAAAGAGGGGGTGGTTGTCATATCCATCCCCGGCCATCGACTTCCGGTTCCTCCGATCCCTCCGGTCTAATTCCGCTCCTCCCTCACTAACCTCGGAGCCCCCGTATTCCGCAATCCTCTCGGTACCCCTCGATGGTCACCACCCCCTCATTTCAATTTATTACCTACACCTCCCTAAGTACGGAGCCCTGAAGACTTCCGGACAGCTCCGACATCCGCTAGCGCACCCCCGCCTCCGCTGGGCAATACACTCGCCTGCCCTGCAGAGCCCACCTTCGGGCCTATCCCTCCTTTCCGTTTCTGGGTTATCACCTGCCTTTCCGCTAACCCCGCGAACCGACTCGTCGGTAATATTCAGTCGGCTAATGTCTAAACCCCGTTAGCTCCGCTCCGTTCGGCTCCGCCAATTGCGGAACCGTCTCCGCTGTAACCATATATATATCCCACTTGTACATAGGTTACACCCCAGTAGTCAAATCAACTAGAGTTACCCCCCCCTTCGGTTCTGATTGCCAGTCAGTAAGTTAGGGCACGGACGTGTCACTAGGCACAGCGCTCTTGGCAGAAGTCGCTGAGGCCAAAGCCCTCCGCCACGGAGACACTCCCCCATCCCGAATCTGGTCTCTGACAGTGGTGACCATCGAAGAGAAGCAGAGGTGGTTGCGGAATATGGGAGCTCTGAGGTTAGTGAGGAAGGAGCGGAGGTAGTCCAGAGAGTTCGGAGGTAGTGGAAGTCGATGGCCGAGTATGGATATGACAGTATCCCCTTCTTAGGCCTGAACCCTTGAAGGCCCAGAATTAGAAAGACGAGGGGAGCTGTACTTACAGAAAAATGAAAATGGAAGTGAGGAGTGGAGAGAAAGGGAGAGATGGGAGAGGAGTCGGGTTCCTAAGGAGCTTTGGGTCCAGGCTTGTCTGGGTACCGAGAGTGGAATGCTTCGACGAGGTCAGAGGCGTGATCGAGTTCGCCGGCAAGGAGCCATTGTGTCTCCTCGTTGGTCCCTTCATAGCCTAGCCACTTGACCAGGTAGAGCAACTTGTTGCGTCTACGTCGGTCAATCTTTGAGTCGAGTATCTCTTCGATCTCGAACTCGATCTCACCTTCGATTTCTATGGGAGGCGGAGGTGGCTGGTGGCGGTTCGGAATGACGTTCGGGACGGAGGGTTCGATCTGCGAGACATGGAATACCAGGTGAATGGCTCGCATGTTTTCTGGCAGGCGGAGAGTGAGGGAGTGAGTTCCAATGTGGACAATGATCTCGAATGGGCTGAGGTTTTTCTCAGAGAGCTTTTTGGAAGGTCGGGTGGAGTGGAAATACTTGGCCTTTACATAGACCGAGGTTCCTACCTCGAAAGCTGGGGCAGGACTCCGATGGGAGTCTGCCGGCCCTGATAACGGATCTGAGCGAGGTGCATTTCCTTGCAGAGGAAGTGATGGAGGGAGTTGAGATCTACAGAGTACTCCTGGGCATGTACTGATGTTAGGTCTCGCTCCAGATGAACGGTGATGTTCAGATGGTAGCCTTTGTTGGCAAAGAACAGAGAGACGCCTGTGGTGGCATTTGGAGCATTGTTGTATGCGAACTCCGCAAGAGGTAGGAGTTTGGACCAATTGTCCTGCTGGTAGTTACTGTAGATGCACAGGTACTGCTCGAGCGTCTGGTTCATCCATTCGGTCTGTCTGTCTCCTTCCGGATGATAACCGGAGGTGAAGTGGAGGCGGATGTCGAGGGCCTTACCAAGTGAACAGAAGAAATGAGAAACGAACTCCGGACCCCTGTCGGAGGTGACGTGGGAAGGAACTCCGTGCTTGGAGAACACATGGAGGAGGAAGAGCTTGGCCAGTTCCGGAGAGGTGATGGTATCATGGGTAGGAATGAAGATGCACTGTTTGGACAGGTGGTCCACGATGACCAAGATGGAAGTGAATCCGGAAGAGGAGGGTAGCTGTTTGATGAAATCCATGGAGATGGAGTTCCAAGGATGTTCGGGGATGGGGAGTTGCTTGAGCAAGCCATAAGGCTTGTGATGGGGGACTTTGGCACGGGCACAAGAAGTGCAGGAGGACATGTAGCTCTTGACGAAGTTACGGATGCCCAGCCAGGTATACTCACGACGTACTAGATCCAGAGTCCGGTTTTGACTGAAGTGTCCGGAAAGTTGGTGGTCATGTTTGTCTTGCAAAACGCAGAGATGGAGATCGTTGGAATCCGGAACGTAAATGCGGTTGTCCAGCCTTAACAGGCCTTCAGCACCAACAGACCAGCGGGAATTGGGGAGGTTGGGGGAGGCGAGATGAGAAGAGATTGTGGTATCGGAGGAGAGGGAGGCTAGAATGTCTCAATGGAGAGCCTCTGTGTCAACAAGTATGGCTGCTCGGATTACTGTGGCAGCTAGGAACATGGCTCGTAAGGATGCAGTGAGCTGCTCCGAAGTGAAGACCGGTTGGAAGTTCTGTGGATTGACGCGAGCGTAGTCCATATCCCCTTCTTTGGGATAGACGTCCCAGCGTCTAGTCAATGCATCTGGTTTTACTCCGAGTCTTCCGGGACAGAATCGGACAGTCATGTGGAACTGGGAGAGGAACTCTGACCAGCGGGCTTGCCACCAGGTCAAGAGTTTGGTGGTGGAGAAATACTTGAGGTTCTTGTGGTCGGTGACGACATTGATTGGAGTTCCTGAACCTTCAAGGTAGTGATGCCACGATTGGAATGCATCATGGATGGCGAGCAGTTCCTTATCATGGGTGTCGTAATTGAGCTCCGGCACCGAGAGTGTTCTAGAGTGGAAAGCGACGGGGCGAATCTCTCTGTCATCACAATGGATGGACAGGATTCCAGAGATCGCGTAATCGGAGGCATCGGTTTCTACAATGAGGGGGGCGTCAGGTAACCAATGTGTCAGGATAGGAGCAGAAGTGAAGGCTTCTTTCAAGGTGTTGAAAGCGGAGCGACAGTCGTTGGAGAATAACCAGGGGGCTCCTTTATGCATAAGGCACGTCAAGGGGACCACAATGTTGGAGTATTGGTGGATGAAACGCCGATAGAAGTTAGCGAAGCCAAGGAAGGACTGGACATCCTTGACTTTATGGGGCTCGGGCCAATCTTGGATGGCTTTAACCTTCTCGATGGACATGGTGAGTCTGGAGGGAGAAAGGCAGTATCCGAGATATTCCGTAGTGTCCATATGAAATTTGCATTTCTTTGGGTTGGCATATAGGCCGTGTTTGCGGAGTCTCCTAAGAACTTCTCGGACATGCTCCTGGTGTGAAGCCATGTCTTCCGAGTAGGTAAGGATGTCATCTAGGTAGACTACCACAGAAACGTCCAAGAGGTCGGCAAAGATCGTGTTGACGAATCGCTGGAAGGCCATGGGTGCATTCGTGAGACCGAATGGCATGACAAGCCACTCGTAGGAGCCATAGCGCATGCAGAAGGAAGTCTTCCATTCGTCGCCTGCTGCAATGCGAACCAGGTGGTAGGCATGCCGGAGGTCGAGTCTGGTATAGACTGAGGCACGGCTAGGGGCGTCAAGGAGGTCTGAGATGCAGGGAAGTGGGTAGCGATCCTTTTTGGTGATCTTGTTCAGCCCTCAGAAGTCAACGCAAAGACAGAGGGATCTGTCCTTCTTGCGGATGAAGAGGACCGGTGCTGTGTGAGCGGAAGTAGTGGGACGAATGAACCCGGAGGCTAGGTGTTCATCTAAGAATGCCCAGAGAGCCTCAAGTTCCGAAGTAGAGAGAGAGTACATAGTACCCAAGGGTGGTGAAGTGCCTTCCTCAAGGTCGATCTTCAGGTCGTGCTCTCGGTGCGGTGCCAGCGTCGAGGCTTTGCTCTTACTGAACACATCCATGATACTCCTTCGGAACAGCCGAGAGGTCAACGGAATTGGTGTGGGATGAGGCAGCCCTTAAGCGGCTGTCCTCGGAGGGGATGGTTAGGCTGAAGGATACCAATCCTTCAAGTCGACAAGCCTTCGCAAATGCGGAACAGCTGACGAACTTGATAGATGGTAATGGAGGAGTGGGAGCCTGGGGCTGAGGTGCTGGTGGAACATCAGATGGTTGGATGTCGGACGACGGCAGTGATACCGGAGACGACGGGGGAGAGCTCGGAGTAACTGTCTTGGTAGGTTCGGAAGTTCGGAACGTAATACTGCTTGAGACCCAGTCAATCAACGGATTGTAGCGGGTAAGCCAGTTGTGTCCTAGGACTAGGGAACATGATCCATCCAGCGATGTGACAAAGAAAGTTGTGGGAGTGATGTTACCGGAAGCGAAGTGGAGGGGAATATCAACGGCACAGGTTATGATTGAGTTAGTGCTACCATCGAATAGGTGTAGTTGTAGGGGTTTTATCTGATATGTCTTCAAGGCCAACTTCTTTACGAATGTGTCGTCGATGAAGCAGTCTGAAGACCCAGAGTCTATGAGTGCGGGTACATTCTCATAGGTGCGGAAGAGTTTATTGTGTGTCCTATCATTGGATGGAGGAGAAGAGACAGAAGAAGAGAAAGAAGAGAAATGGAAAGAGGTGGATCGATCTACGGAAGTAGTCGGAGGGGGCGGAGGAGAGAGTGGTACATCAGCAACACTATCTACAACGGGTAGAACATTA